CATGGCCGCGTATCATATGTATTGTCGTCGATGCGCCCGCATTCGCATTGGTAGCCTTCCCGGCATTCTAGAATCATCTCGCTCTTGGTGAAGTGCAGCACTCTCGGCGAAAGTAGGCGTTCGGCGTACGGCCATGCGCGAATCAAGAGGGGCGTGTGTAGATTTGCTTCTTCGGACATGTTGAAAGGTAGCTCCCACTCGTTCATGTGAGCATTTCCGTCAAAAGGCGCCTTGAAACTGTAATGAGTCGGCTGCTCCCGCACGTTGATCTTATGTAGCGAGCCTTTGTTGTCCGTTGCTTGGATCTTGAATGGCTGTGTTTTGGGAGGAAAGAGGGGTTGGGTACTGCTGTCGGATGCGGAGGTCGCCGCAATCGTCAGGAAGGCGTTGCCGAAGATCTCATCCATCTTGAGCGAGTCTTCAAGCTTCTCCTGGACGTCATCTTGTATCAGGCACAGACTATCGATAAACAGCCAGCGGAAACCAAGCGCTCGGGTGAGGAAGACGGCCTCTTGGTATGCTCTTGGCAATGTTGACCATGGAATGCTCTTCTTGTGTGATTGCAGGTTTGCTAAAGTCGTCTTCGGGATCCCTTTGGCCAGTCCCCAGACATGACTTAGGGCGATGTACTCGCCGTGTTCGTATCTCCTCTCGTCTTGGATGTATTCACTTTCGTTCAAGCGCATACTCTTGGAGTCGTCGCGCGACAGCAAATCTAGAACGCGCTTCGGTAGTGTGGTCGGTTTGCCTCGGCGACTGCATGTAATATGGTTCTCTAGGCAATTCTTAATCAAGCCTCGCGCTGTTGCTAAGCCAGTACTCTGTAGTGGATTTTCTGTCACATGTTTTCCGCGCCCAATGGCGGAGAAAGGAGACTGGCCGTCTGCGGTGTTGTCAGTCCACGCGTTCCTGCAGAGCGAATGAGCTAGCAGTAGCCCTGGAGGTGACCGTTCCACGACCGCGACCATCATTACATCAACTGAAGCACGTCGGAAGAAAATTTGGCATACCTCCATCGGTGAAGAACTCGAGTTTCAGATCTGCATGGCCTGCCGCATGTTCATGTTCATCCTCGTGGCAGTCGTCATGGTCGTCGTTGTCTTTCCATCGGAGCTCGACGGAAAGATGTTCTTGGGGAACTTTTCCATTCTTTGGCCTGAATGTTTCTGCCTTCACTCTCACATTGTCTTCGTTGATGTTTGGGAACCGGTCGTGGTGTAGAAGGATGCCATTGAGGAGGAGCGCGCACGCGCGGCAGGAACTTGATCTCGACCTCAGATTTGGCAGCGTGGTGTCGACCCAAACGAGCGAATCCGGCCCATTCTCTTGCACGCTGTCCGATCCATGGAGGTGCTTCTGGAGACCTTTACATGTCGCGCAAACAGATACCATGGCGTCGTGGAGTGGTTGAAAATGCGTGATGGATATGACGACGGTGCGGGGTGCTGAGGTTCGTCCCCGTTGTTCCGCGGGGCGGCAGGACAGTGTTAGGGAGATGGCACACTGACCAGGTATACGTCAATTGAAACCCATTAAGCAGTCGCTACTAGTGAAAATACTGGCCCACGAAGCCAGTAGCAGCAGCTGACATTTGCATGCGGCTTCCAGACCATTCGACGGCCTAAGGTGGAAGGTCAGCTCTGAACCAAACCAAAAAGTGGAGGCGCCACTACTAATCCTACGGGCAGTGAACCTCTCCCGCTCTTGTGGGGACGCCCAGCTTCCAAAGCACAAGGATCTGTCGTCGCACTGCGCCGAGGGCTATGATTATCATTTGCAGAAAGATAAGTATTCGGCGACCTATCGCCGCCTTGTCTCGCCCCTCGTTCGAAGACCTGCAGCACAGATCATCGGGCACTGCGCATGGCGATATCATCCAAGCTGGTGCATGCTGACATCTTTCCTGCGCCCGCCGAACCTTGGTAACGAATGGATCTCGACGAATGCCTAGGTGCCGCTCGTTCGGTGCTTCTCCCGTGAACACGACCCTCGCGCCCGCAAATCCGGGTCAACGTGCTTCAGCCCATTTGTTCAATCATTCGTCAACGCAATGCTTTTTTCGAGCTGCTAGTCTACCAGGAGAATTCATGATGAAACACGAGCTGAGCCATTGTTCGGCCAAGTGCTGCATTTAGCAGAAGTGACATCTAGATCCTCACCTGACAGCAGCCATGAGAATGTCTTCATATCCAAGCCATCCGGCATCAGCAGAGCCGTATTGCCACACCGACGTTGTTCAGCCTGCTTTCAGACACCGGCGCATGGTGATGGCAGCCATGGAAAACGCCCTGCTTTCCGCTTCAAAAGCCGCCTCGAACAGCCAATCTTTCCTACGGAACTTTTCTGACTTGCATCCTACTTCCAGATCCGGCGCGTCATCCTTCCATGTACAATCTATCCACCGGTCGACCATCAGCATGTCAGATTCGTCAATCGCCTTTCGGCTGCGTCGGCCACCGATCGGTCACGAAAGGACGGCGACCTTGCAGCTGCTCAAAAGACTGGGAGCAGAATCACATTCGCGCAAGGCTTCATGCATCAACGATATAAAGTCCAATGAAAAGGTCAACCTGCAATCTTCCGCTGCGTGTCATCACTTGAGCTTCGAAAGGGTGGTCAGGCTAGGGCCCGCAAGATCGAGTGCATCTACATCGACGAGCCACTTCAACCGCCTTATATGCAAGCCTTCACGATTCTGCCTCGCCATTCGGTCTGCGGTCTGATAGCCCGGGCCAACAATATGAAATTGGCGTCAATCGCTGCCTTAAGAGCTCCCTGTGTTCAAATGGTCGCTAGAGGCTGTACGCCCAAGCCTGCTAAAGGCGAAGCCAACATCACGAGAAGATGATGCCTAAAGTCGTGGAGGCTTGAATGATGAAGTTGCGCATCGCTCGCGAAGTGCGATCTCGTAGTGACCTATAGCGTGCCGACTACATACTCCATTACGCGTATCATCGTCACGTAGGCTCATAAATTTCCGTTCCAGGACATACGGCGCTCATCGATCGGTGGAACTCGATATTTATAATCCTGTTCACTAAACGTGACTTTCGTAAGTCGCGTCTTACTCACTATTACCACGAGACTGCGCGTCGTGTCTGCGTGAAGGGCACAGCGCACGTGCCTTTACTAATACAATCGAGACTAGCGTTGCGGGACTGCATGTGGTAGCGACGACCCGGCCCCACATCGGGCTGCCACAAGCATCCCAGACATACGAGAGTCACGATGTAGGCAACTCGGCTGGCAACACCAACATGACTTCGGTTATCAGCGCATTGCGCAAGCAGATTGCAACATGCGAAGCCACACTCAAAGATCTGCGCCAACAGCTGGCGGAAGCGGAGCACAATCAACGCGAGCAGGGCAAGATTGTGCCGCAAAAAAGGCGACTAGCAACTGATCCTGTAAATCCCATGGATCATGATATGAATTTTGGAGTACCGGATCAGTTCCGCGACGAGATCTTTTCGATTCTCCAGCAAGAGCAAACGGCGCCGGAAGCCGAGAGCATTGTAGCTGAAGATGCGCCAAAATGGCCATTGGAGAAGAACGAGTACAAGAGATATGGAAGGCAGCTGATTATGCCTGAGATCGGTCTGAAAGGTGAGTTTGGTCTTGAATAAGAGGTTTTGAAATGGTGCTGAGCTCGCGTTTCTTAGGTCAGCTTCGCTTGAGAGATGCCCGTGTACTCATCGTAGGTGTGGGTGGTCTCGGTTGTCCAGCTGCTGCATACCTGGTCGGAGCAGGAGTTGGTACCGTTGGACTAGTGGATGGCGACGTGGTAGAAGAGTCGAATCTACACCGGCAAATCTTACATTCTACGGCCAGAGTTGGAATGACCAAAGTCGAGAGCGCGATGGTGTCTTTGAAGTCGTGCGTCTACTCATCAATCTGCACTACTAGAGACCCAGCTAACCTACTAGACTAGGCTCAACCCTAATGTTACACTCGTCCCTCACACATCGCGACTTAGCCCAGAGACTGCGATTTCGACATTCAAACAGTATGACTTGGTTCTAGATTGCACAGACACTCCCGCGTCACGCTACCTGATCTCCGATACATGTGTCCTCCTAGGCAAGACGCTCGTCTCTGCATCAGCCCTCCGCATAGACGGCCAAATGATGGTCCTGAACAACCCACCCTTACCAGCCGGCGATCCCAACGGAGGCCCCTGCTACCGCTGCGTCTTCCCCAAACCACCACCTCCCGAATCCGTCGTCTCATGCGGCGACGGCGGCATTCTAGGACCGGTCGTTGGCGTAATGGGCGTCTTACAAGCACTCGAAGCGATCAAAGTCCTCACCCGCAAACCCACCACCACACCCGCAGATCCACCGAGCCTTCTCCTCTTCTCAGCTTACTCAAATCCCATGTTCCGGTCTATACGGCTCAGGAGTCGGAAAGCGAAGTGTGCTGCTTGTTCGACGCACGCGACGATTAGTGCGGAAGCGCTGGAGTCGGGGAGTCTGGACTACGTTCAGTTCTGCGGCAGTTTACTTCCAGATAACAACCCACTGGCCCCTGAAGAACGTATATCAGCGAAGAACTACGCCCAATTACGATCCGGTGTCAATCCTTTCACGGGTACAGTCTCGAAGAAAGAAAGCCACTTGCTAGTTGACGTACGGGAGAAGGTGCAGTTTGAGCTGTGTAACATCGACGGTAGTATCAACGTGCCCTTCTCTACAGTCTCCGCTACCCGAGGACCTACCTCTGCCGTCGAAGAAAAGGACTGGACTAAGATGCTGCGGCAATCCGAGAAACCCATCTTCGTTGTGTGTAGATTGGGTAATGACTCGCAGGTCACGGTCAAGAAGATGAAAGAGCTTGGACTTGATGCGGGAGGGAAGAGGTATATTGGTGATATCAAGGGAGGGCTGCAGGCGTGGAGAAGTACGGTTGATACTGAGTTTCCGGATTATTGAGCTTATACTTCTGAGTACTCTATGTAGATAAGAGCACTGAGTCGGAATCAGCATTCCTAGTCAAACATCTTACCTGCCAAGCTCAACAACAAACCTCTTACCACCCCCGTATCCCTCTGCCATCCTCCCCAAAACCCCATCAACGCTCTCTAAGCCCTTCACCATCTCAACCTCCTGCGCACTCATCCACCCCTTCTCCATGCCAAACGGTAAATACGTCCCCACAACCCATTCCATCAATCCTTCATTCCCCTCCTCGTACAACGAGTCTGACCACGGTTCAAACACCCTCTCTACACCCTCTGGCAAATCCTCAGGTCCAAACGCCGGTTGTGTAGTGGAGAGCTTTCCGCCGCCTTGTGCCTCCAGAACGCGACTTGCGAGGGGAATGGTTTGGGCTGTGGATATCATATCCACGACAACATCGTATGGTCCACGCACTCTGAGTTCCGCGATGATTCGTTCGAGTGGAAGTGTGTGGTCGATAACGTTACCCTCGCTCCCAATGAGCTCACATACAGTAACCATACACCGCGGGGAAGACGTGGTGGTAACATCGTATCCCGCACACTGGAGGTACTGCACTGCTAGACGGCCGAAACTGGAACTTCCGCCGTATATCAATATCTTTTCTCTTTCTTCTCCTTCTTGGACCTCATCACCTGGCTTGCGCAATCCCAATCGCCCGGAGAAGAGACCGGGAACACAAGTCGCGTTCATTACCAACGCTGCCAACGCTGCTTCTTCATCTTTGTTCATGCCTTCCGGTAGTCTGACTACCATCTTCTCCCCCGCAGCAACGAGGACGTAGCGTTGATACGCGCCATATTCATTGCCCTGTGTACCGAATCTCTTGCTAACGAGAATGCGGTCGCCAACTTGATACTTTGTGACGTGTGTGCCTATGGCCTCGATGGTGCCCGTGTAGGAAGAGCCTGGGATGAAGGGGTAGGAAGGCGGTGGTGGGGTGCCGCGTTTGGCGATCTTGGCTTCGATGGCGTTGATGCCGATTAAATAGACCTTGATTAGGAGTTCGTAGGCGGAAGGCTTGGGGATGGGGAGGATGTGTAAGGTGAGAGGGGAGTTTGGGGATGTGAGGATTGCGGCTTCGTTCATTGTGGGTGACTGTTAGAGAGTGCAGTATGAGGTGTGCCAGGGAATGGATTTGATGGTTTGTTATACATTTGCATGGCTGTTTACTACTACGTGTTGGTGTAGAGCTCAAAGGAGGTGGCTGCAGAATACAAGAGTCGATGATTAAGCGATCATGATCCTACGGAAAGTTTCCGCCACGCATTACACAGCGCGATGCTGGGTGCCGTGTTTTTCGCCACGGCATTGCCCATGTTACATCAATTGATCGAGGTAATTGTTATCATGCTGACATCGGCTCGCACCGCCGGTGCTGTGAGGCTTTGAAATGCGGGAGAGTAGGGCGCCTAATCTGGACGATGCAGACACGGAAGGGAAATTCGTGCCTGGCCACAATATCTGGCCTACTTCCTGCCAACGCGTCCATGGTTCCGCGGGTATCTCTTCAGTGTTCCTCGCCTGCCAATCCGCTCCACTGAGCCATTGGTGAGGTCTCTATCGTTGTGTCTCAGACGCCTGACTTTCATGCTGTGCGAACTCAGGCTTCGTCTGCATGTTACTCTGCACATGACTCTTGAGCGCCGCCCAGCGATCTTGTACTGCATCAGCGCCCTGTGCCCCTTTCCCACTCCCGCCCACAAGCTGCGCCAGATTTGCATTAAACCTCTCCTTCTCCAACTTCTCCAGCTTCTCTTTCCGCTTCTTCGCACCCTTTGTTTTCTTCATGCTATCGGGCATCGTCTGGGGTTGCACTATCCGCGCTTGACTTGTTTCGAGCCCATCTTCCCCAGACTCTGGCAGGGCGTCGGCGAGCGACTCGAGGTTTGCGATGAGCTTGTTATTGGGGCGTCGCCGTTTTTGGGTCTTGGCAGAGGACTTTTCGATTTTGGATACGAAGGATGAGTGTTTGATCTTTAGCTTGTCGCGCTTGGAGGAAGGGTACGAGGGGATGCCGTCGGGCTTTGGGAGAGTTGCAGTGGTAGTCGTGGGACGGGCGGCGCGAGCGGACTTTGCGCGCGCTGTTGTGCGCTTCTTTATAGGCGCCTGGAGATAGGATTAGCATGCTTACACCATTCGTACGCGACCGGGATAACATACCATGGCTGTTTTGGGTGTGAGGAATCGTAGAGAGTTCCTGTCGCATAGAGCTGGTGGAACGCTCCTGCGCAAAAGTTCTTATCGATAACGACAAGTGCCGACGTCAACCACCCGGCCCGTGCGACCTTCACAGACATTGGACGTACAACTCGGCTTCCGTCTCACGACCCTCCATCCGGATGTAACTTCGCGGCTACACGAGATTCACGACTTCATACGCAGCTGCAACTGTATGACCTTCTCCGACGTGGTTCAACGGGCACATCGCCTCAGTGAGCTACCACGCCTCCTCATCGTGCCCCTTTGCTCATCCTTGTCGCATCTACTGGGCTAAGTCATGTGTTTCACTCTTCACAGACTTCCTGTCATCATGTACACGCTCGTGGTGCTTGAGGCAACGCGTTCAACTCCGCCAGGATGAAGTCCGAAAGAGCTGCCTTACTCGACGCCACCAACGGCGAGTCGGACTCCGCACCAAACAGCAAACAGCACTTCTTCTCGCAGCCGTGTCATCTGGTCATGCTTCAATTTGGGGCAGGACTGCTTCATTCAACACTCCGATAAGACTGCAGCATATCGGACTTGGCTAGGTGCGGCCCGTTCCCGACCACCAACTATTGGCTGTCTGTCGCATAACGATCCTCGTTGTGATCACCTATGATGCACTACGATGGCATGATTTTCCCTCGTTTTGTTTCTTGCAGGGTTCACTCCAGTAGAACATGTCATAGAAGCGATTGCCACAGGCAAGTCAAGGTATACGAGAGAGTATTGCTTTTTTACAACCCCAAACCTGTCCTGAAACGCTATCATTTAACCTCAGCTGCCACCATCTGCGGGTTGGCAGCGCTCCGGCATGTACAACATCCTCGTATCACTGTGGCGCCATCCTTCATCCCAACACTACGGACCTGGGCTCAGCTCCACGACGGCCGTCTAGCCTAGATGCAGGCACGCGTGCGACCGATCAGCATCGAATCCCGCCCACTGTCGTCATGTTGTTCTACGATTCGCTGCGGATCGCGACTCATATCCCTTCCGCTTCTATTTGTGGTTCTCTAGACGAAACTATACGAACCCCTCGTCGTCTCTGCCGCGACAAAAGGCAATCATTCGCATGAAATGCAAGACGCGTAGTCCTGGTGACTCGGACTTTAAGGGAGCATTACGAACAGCGTATGCAGCTTGTCCGAAGTTCGAGAACATCTGGCCCTATTCATCCCCTTGTAGCCGCCAACATGCTATTTCGATAAAGATTCATCAAGGCTCATTTCAATGCAATCTCCGAACCGCGCAAGACACGATGTGCGAACAAGCCCAGCACGAGAATGCGCTCATTTCAGCTCAGAATCATGGTACTATTCTGGTAATGGTAGCTTGGTTTCTTGCTTGCCTGTTGGTATGAATTCCATCTGGGTATCCATCTCAATGCTGATCATTGTCATAGGCTATATGCACTGTAGCAAGAGTCGTCGCTCGATACAGATCTGAACACCTTCGCCATCTCTCGTCGACAGATGACGTCATTATCGTTACCGCATCGGTCTTTGCCCTTGGAAGCACCGTGATAATATCCACGGCTGTTGAATCGGGCTTGGGGAAGAGGGACTGTCTCCTCAGCGATGATGACTTGGAGCAAATCCAACTCAAGCTTTATGTTACCACGATACTCTTCGTTTTGACAATAAGCATCGCCAAAAGCTCGGTCCTACTCTTCCTCTATCATCTAGCAGATAGCACACTACGCAGGGCAAGCGTCCTAGCTGTTAGTACACTGGTCTTGATATGGACCATTGCAGTTTTGGCAGGCATGGTTTTCCAGTGTGAACTACCGACGCCGTGGATGGTGTGGACAGGGAAGTGTATTCCCTTGGTAAGTCTGATTGTCATACCGTGACCGAAGTTGTTCTAAGTATAGTACAGATACCTTTCTGGATGATCGCCACCATCACGGATACTGTTCTAGAAACAGCCGTGATCACTCTCTCGGTACATCACATATGGACACTGCGAGAATCCTACCGCCAAAAGGCCTTGGCGACACTACTGTTGTCCATGCGCTTCATGTAAGCGAAGGACCTAATACTCAGCTGAGACCTTGCTGATATCCTGTGTAGCTTAGTTGCAGCATCTATCATTCGTCTGGTTTATCTTCGACAAGCATATGATCGCAATGGAGACCCCGCTTTTGACTCTTTACCCTACGCCGTGGTCACACAAGGCCAGACGACACTAGCCGTTCTCATCGTTTGCAGCCTCTGCCTCAAGCCATACTCTCGCTTCCAAGCATCCCAATCGCCGACCCCCAAACCCAAATCAAGACACTCGAAAAATTGGTCTGGTAGCATCACCATCGGTGGCACGCCCTACGAATCCTACAAGTCGTTCCCACAACCGATCATACGAGAACCTCTGCTTGCTATACAAGCGAGCATGTCAACACCCAATTCCCCGGCAGGATCCAGGCACTCACTGAACGAAGATATACTGCTGCCAGATACACCGATACCCGCGCGATCTGCTAGAAGACCTCCTCGGCCTCCTCCACCAAGTGAGGAGCAAAGACCGGATCTGAGTATGTTCACTCGAAGTCCTACTACACAGCAGGCACCAGTGGTGACGAAACTTACTGTTTGTCAAGAGAGAGAAAAGGGAATGGACCTGAAGTCAAGGGGCTTATTGATCCGATAGGGCGCATGTGTCTCTGTTTGTTCAAAATAGTTATAATGTATTCTGCTGGGCGGTAGCGACAAGTAGCTACGATGGATAATGCATTAGCCGATGTACCCTCAAGAAAGCAGTCGCTTCAATAGTCTCGCGTGCAACTCATTCTCATGAGTACAAGGGAATTTTGCGAGCTTTACAAGATTCTGATGTGTATGTTGGTAGTAGTACGTGTATGCAACGAAGCGGAGGTAGGAGTAAAAAAGCGAACACCTGCATGTCTCCCGACGCACCGACCACGCTCAACACCCATTACCGAGCGCATACGACAAGGCAGTCAGACGTCTTCTCCAGGTCAGCAGCGACGACACAAAGATTTGATTCAGCATATCAGCCTACGAAATCACCGAACATGTACATGCAGAGTAGCTAGAAGCGCAAAACATTTACCACTTTCCCACACGATGATACATCAAAAACGGCGAAGCAACGTCAAAAGAGCTTCGACGTCTACGACTTCCAGAACGGGATAAATGCCGAGGGCACCGAGTAGTTCGGTACCTACATGGGCAGTACAATACACACTGCACTTTCTCAGTGGCTTGAAATGCCTGCTGTCAATCGTCCAACAAGGTACTTGGCATGCAGACGATAAAATGCCCGACGTCAGAGCCGCAACTACAGAGAACTTGAGGACGTCAATTGCAGTTCCGACACACAGTAGCCAGAGACAACGTCGTCCGAGTCTTCGGAGTCTATAGTACCTCCCATCACTTCCAGCCCACCTCCCCTCTCTCTCCACCCACCATGGCGACACAAGCATTCGACCCCTCGCACGTCGACCTCACAACAGCCGACAAAGCCTCAGTAATCTGCTACTTCACCGTCGGCGAAAACGAATACAACGGCATGCTCGGCGCGCGTATCTCGTCCATCTTCGTCATCGGCTTGGTCTCCACCCTCGTAACCTACTTCCCCGTCATCGCGCGCAAGAAACCATCTTGGAGAATCCCGCTCGGGCTTTACACCTTTGCGCGCTTCTTCGGTTCGGGAGTGATTGTCGCAACAGCGTTTATCCACCTGCTGGATCCGGCGTACGAAGCAATTGGCCCGGGGAGTTGTGTAGGGGAGAGTGGGGGCTGGGCGGAGTATCCATGGTGTGCAGCTATAGTGTTGACGTCCATCATGGCGGTGTTCTGCGTGGATCTAGGAGCGGAAGTATATGTTGAACGGCATTTCGGAGTGGAGAAAGAGGAGAGCGAGGTTACCAACAACGCGTTTCTTCGCTCTGGCTACAATACCACCACCGGAGTCGCACCAGTAGCAGCCATGGTGGACCCAGAATCCAACAATAACAACCCAAGCCAAGACCACCAACACGGGGATCAACAAGACCACCACCGCAAACACACAGCAAGCCTCCGCAGCTACCCCTCCGCATCCTCCCTCAGCACCACCTCAACAGCAGCCCGCCTCTCCTTCGCCCAGCAAATCGGCGCCTTCCTCGTCCTAGAATTCGGAATAATATTCCACTCCGTCATCATCGGCCTGAACCTCGGCGTCGTCGGCGACGAATTCAAAACGCTCTACCCAGTCCTAGTATTCCACCAATCTTTCGAAGGGCTCGGCATCGGAGCCCGCTTATCCAGCATCTCCTTTCCGCGCAGCAAGGCATGGATGCCGTGGGCGCTTTGCGCTTTATATGGGCTTACGACGCCGCTGGCTATTGCGGTGGGGTTGGGGGTTAGGACGACGTATTTGCCGGAGAGTAAGGTTAGTTTGATGGTGCAGGGCGTGTTGAATGCGGTTAGTGCGGGGTTTTTGGTGTATAGTGGGTTGGTGGAGTTGTTGGCTAAGGACTTTTTGTTTGATAGGGAGAGGACGAGGGATTTGGCGAGGTTGGGGTTGATGGTTGGGTATGTGTTTCTTGGGGCGGCGGTTATGGCGCTGATTGGGAGGTGGGCATGATTTGGGGGAGGGTGGTATGAGCTGTATAATCATGTCATGAATGCCTGAGTGATGGAGTAGACAGGAGGTATTCAGATCATTTCCACAATCCAAACCTATCCTGATACCGCACCGGAATTCCCCACACTCTCTCATGCCTTGACCCCCATACACGCTTTCAGGTCTCCTCAGAGTACAAGGCCTTCATGTTCTGCAGATCAGAAATAATCCTATCAATCTGACCGACATCCTCCAATTCAACCACCTGCTGATAGATGCCCGCAACGCTGATATTCCAATCCGTAGTTTCATCGTAGAACGAATCATACGACGTCGACGAGGACGGTCGCAGAGACAGCTCATCTGGAGCCCCATGGGCCGGCGGGGGACCAGGCGAGGAGAACACAGAGGAGTGCGAGGGCGACGGCAAGAAACCTACAGGTGAACTAGGCGAACGGAAAGCGAGTGGCATAGGGCGGTCGGGCGCTGACGTTGTTAGTTAACATGAAGTTTATGAGGGGTTGACGGGGTTGTAGCGTACTGTTAGGTGGGTAATCGCCTCGTCCACCAGGTGAACCGAGGGATGTCGACCTCAACGCTTGTGATTCTATCACTTTTTCTCGCTGAAGGTGAAGTGAAGGCGGCAACTTGTCGATCCGCGGACTAACTGGCGACGAGAAAGAACGTGTAGGCGTCGTAGTGCTCCCATGTGTGGGCGTGTCGGCGGCAGCTTGTCGCTTGAGGATCGTGGTACGCGTTTCACTAGAAGTAAGAAGCAGATGTTAGTTTGTGTAATGTGTGAAAGCAGCTATGACATGTGTATCTAGAATATGGGTGGTCTTCTGGATGGTTATGAAACGCTGCTAGTAGTAGTATGACACGGGCGAGAAGGTAGGTGGTGGTGAGGTGGGAGACGAGTGAGGGAGAGACATGGCAGAGGCATTTAGAACATTGCGTGACACCAAGCAGTGCCCGGACAACGCAAGTTCGCAATGCGTGCGCATCTATGGAGGAGAATTTGTGAAGTGGGCTTAGCGTACGAGGGGCGGATGTCGTGGACGTCGCGGCAGAGTTCTTCGAGGCAGAAGTTGTTGAGGCGGGAGAGATTGTAGCCCTATTCAGTGTTCACATTAGCTCCCCGTATCCAGGTGCATAGCAGGTGTTTGGGACTCACGCGATCAAGACCCAACTCTCGCAGATATTTCTTAGCTTCTTGGAAGTGCTCGTCGCTCTCTTTGATCCAGTAGCCGAAGAGAGAGAGGTGGACGTCGGCGATGGTCATGTTGCGGACTTCGTCGGCGTACTTCTTCACTTCTTCTGCACTGAGGTTGACGTGCAGGGACTCATTGCGGCGGTGGCGGCTGCTGGGTGTGGGACTAGCGAGATCGTGGGCGACGTGTGTACCTTCGCATTCTCCGCATTCGTCTCTGAAGCGCCGATTATCGACACTATCGTCGTAGTCATACTGAGAGTAGTCACCCGGATCGGCGGTAAAGACGGTGGGGTGGTCGTGTCCGAGGCCTTGAAGCTTGACAAACTTTCGGTCTATGGACTTGTTAGTTCGAGGTCGGAGAGGAGGTCGAGGGTACGTACGACGCTCGCGGATTTTCTCTCTTTCGGCAACAGTCATGATAGTACTAGGAGAAGGAATGTCCGAGCTGACGAGTGTGGTCTGCTGACTTGCGCGCTCGGTCTCAACGCTTGTGTCTCTGCCCTCGGACTCGGAGCTCATGACCTGCGTCAATGGGCTAGTACTAGCGATACTGCTGCGGTTGCGCGCGAAGAGACTGCCGAAGTTCTTGATGCTACTCTTGCGAAAAGCCTGGCGCTGTCCTTGGTCGTCGCCATTATCGCTAGTATTCTCCTGCACTTTGGGAGGTTTCGGAACGAAGCTGTCTTTGCGATGCAGATTCTTCTGTGACTTGGCGAGTTGAGGGTAGAGTGACGGTACTGATTTTGGCGAGAAGTTGGTCGCTGCCAGCGTCGCTTGCATCTGCGCGTGCGGGAAATCCATGTTTTGAGTTCGGCGCGGCGGATACGTTTGCGTTCAAGAGGAAGGGAATGGAGATGACGCTGAGAAAGAGATGCGGATATAGACGTGTTGGTACGTAGACGACGTGACGGCGTTTGTCAAACTGCGATAGTGACCAAGAGGTAGCTTGCGCACTGACGTCAGAAGTCAAGGTGAAGAGGAGTCGATATTGCTGGGTGACGTCCCAATTGAGCGATTGCGCGGCCATTAGCGGACAGTGGAGGAAGATTGAAAGAGGGGGAGAAGATGTCAGGGTCTACCACGCGTACAACTTCTCTGAAGGCTCAAGGAGTACAGAATTTACTTGAGATGAACGTGAGTCGATGCAAGATGAATATTCCATGATAAGGTGGACGTGTTGGGGTTGTCCTCTTCTGAGTTTGTAGCACCACCTCTGTAATCGAGACGCCGGTGGAGTGTAGGCTTCTAAGGATGCATTTTACTCTTCTTCCATGATTTCGTATACATCTCTTTCAACGAGACCAGCTGCGCTCTTGCATATCTTGTTGAGTATGGTTGAGACCATTCGACCGGAGCGTGCGGCAGCATTTTCGTCTTTCAGTGTGCAGTTCGAGAAGTCTCCTGCTGGCCTGGATATCCACAGTCAGCTGAGTATCTTTCGACAAACTCCACCATCTCTTGGAGAGACTTACTGCTTCGAGCGGGATGTTTTCATTTCCAAACACAACGAAAGCGTAAAATCTGGCGACTTGCTGTATGGAGTCCGAGCCCAGCCGTGAAGTATACTCAGCGGGCGTGTAAGGAAATGCGATGTCGGAGGAGGACTCGCTGTCAGTGATCTGAACTCGCAATGAGCTCAAACAAGGCCAAATACCAGGGATACCAACATGACTGGTGCTGGAATCTCAAGACGTGACACCACCATCATTTGAAAGATAACCGACTGTATGGTAGCCCAGCTGTATCACTTATCATGGAGCGTGAGATTGGTTTTCATATCAGATCCAGGGAATGATGATTGTCAATGGATTGGTGCTGGCATGGGGGTGATACCCATGAGAAGGCTAGGGTAAATTCGACTCAAAAGCCACTCATCTTGTTGAAAAAGTAGAGTTAACACAAAGATAGAAAGAGGCAGGTGCGAAACGGAACCTCGTCCATGAGACGTCTAGACTTCCTCTTGCTCATCTTACCTATGTTCACACAGGCTCATATCAGGATATGAAGAACGAGCCCAGCTCATCTGATACAAGCTCCGAGCCTCCATGCGATTTTCACTAGTGAGAGAATCAACAGCGATAGACGGTCCAATTCCGGCAGTATGTCTGGGTGGTCAGGTGCAAATCCTCCGCTGTAGACGTCCCACACCCAGTGTTGGCTGCATCCAGAGGGCAAGTCATGCGTAGACAAACAAGTAGTGTTGCATGGTCAGATGAGGTTCAATGGAGACATATGTGCAGGCTGGAAGGGAGGGAGGGTCTGACGGCGGCTGTTGAGGGTGGTCCCGACGCAGAAGGTTCCTTGGCGACCCGCCCGCGGGCGTCTTCCAACTTCCTGCTCCCCGCTCAAAGGGCCGATGCAACAACACGTAGGATCGACTTATCTCGGTCAATAGCCGTTGACAGTCAAGCTTCACCTGCATGCGGTTTCTTCTTGGACCTCGTCTCGGCGATCTTGACCCTGCTGACGGCCCGAGCGTCTGTCCCGCGGCCTGCGATGACTGCGACACGCAACATTTCCTATCAACTACCCAAACGGCTTAAAAGCAATCTGCAACAATCTCATCGCTTACCATGACCCCTCACGGACGCGCATCGGGTTAATCTAAAAAGGCTCTTTGACGCACGACAGTGTCTACAACTGGTATGGCATTCGTACACTCCCACCAGTAGCCTGCATGGATCAACCTCGCACGGCGCTTATGGGTGTTACACAACACTGCACAACGGTTTCTGCCGCGAGCAAGATGGCTATACCCACTTTTTGACGACCTCGATATTGCGGCGCAGTCGTCCTTCGTCCAGACGCGCCGGACACTGCCCTAAGTTCTAGGTCGTCATGAAGGACAGGTTTGGCGTGACCTTTGACCACTCAGGCCTTGGGGGCCAACTCTGATCAGCGAACTCATGATCCTAGCTCTAGGCTGAGCGCCTCGGGAACGAGAACTGGAGGAGCTTCAGGGCAGCGAACCATACACAAGAACGCCTTCTTCTTGTGGTCTGACATCAGGTCCGAGGAACTTACCTACACCTCGAAACGGGCAGCGGTCATGCTTAGGTGAAGGGGCTCGCAGGCTGAAAAGGTGCTTCGTCGCGCTGATTCGCTAGACCATGCAACAAAGTTGAGCGAATGGGGGCTGTGAGCCGCCTTGCGTCGAGACCGAACCACGACAGCAGATCCCAGCCGTTCAGGACAGCACCCGATGTTGGTCCACACCCCGGGTCCCCGTTGTTGGCACTTCCTATCCTGCAGGCGCTGCTCTATATGAATTGCGGCGTGGTTGATGCAAGTTGTCCGCCATCAGCCAATGAAGCGCTAAAGTTAGCGCCCCCGCGAGTTGGGTCGCCAATCATTCCCTACTTAGCCGCATATCCAACGTCCTTCATCCTTTAGGAGCTTTCCGTGCCATGTCGCGACGGCGGGGTCAGGACAGGCGGCTCTCGAGTCTTGACACGCGTATAGACCAACGGGCGTAGTCCCACATTGCCACCTCAGTAGCAGGAATGCGCAGATAGATCTGTCAGCTGTAAACGGTGTGGTACGCACCGTCGCGGCGCGGATGACGCGTGTGTGGTGCATTCATATAACAAAAGTGTAGCCTGCAGATCATAGGTTGTACCGCTTTCAGCCCTCTGTTATCGTTCTGTTTTGTTTGGGGGCGCAGCTTTGGTCTCCTCTGCCGTCTGATTTACCCAGTTGACCGGTCTCGTTGCTACGCCGCAATACTCTCCTTTCGGTACTTACGTGTCTACGGGTGCCGCCTTCTTTTACATCCTTCGCCGCCGCCTTTCCCGCGCTTCTTTTCGTATCGTGCGTCTCGTTCGCACTATCACACAACGCCTCCGCGATTTAAGATTACTACCTTCATTGAAAAGCTTGTCCCTAACTTGGCACTGTCACACCCATAGACATGGCTACACTGTCGGTGCCGTCGCCTAGCCTGGGCTCGGGTTCATTGGGTGCCAGCATCCACAGACCGCTCTCCACTCACGGGCTGCCAAAGCAGCCGCGTACAATGTCACCCGAACGACCACATCGTTTCTCCGCAAAGTCCACAAAGAGCTATCCTCCTCCAGCTCTTGTACACACTCCCATGACACCACAATCCCTGGGACCAATGTCTCCCCCACCTATGTCAGCAAAGTCTTTCGGCACCTTCATCGACTCGGAGCCGTCGACGCCAGCCTACTCACCAAGGATGGACCACCAGTGGGACGACTCATCGGTGGTCCTAGTCCGTCCCATGTCCTCGTCTTCTGAACCTTCCAGCCCTACTGAGCCAGTATGGCGCATGCTACAACCACTGCCTGTGAAGGCCCCACCAAAGCCCAGAGCCAGCACCGTCAGAGCTCAGTCCAAAGAACCGGTCTCCTCTGCCAAGGAGATTTCATCACAGACATCGCTTGCGTCGCACCCTACTAAGCAGGCGAGCTACGTCAATCGCCCGCACGCGATCAAGCTAGCAAGCCTATCACAACAAGATTTCCCCCCGAAGAGCGAAGACATCCCACAGGGTGATGTTACATCACCTCAGCCGACAGCCAGCACTCCCACAGCGGCCGCCTTCGGGAAACTGGCAAACAAGATGAAGTTGATGCTACGGCGTAAGAACACAAACGCAAAGAAAAAGGAGAAGAAGAAGCGAGAGTACGAAGAGGTAGACCGCATAGAGGATGTACACTGGACAGAGATGTGACCTCCACTTCACACCAAATGTTTCGAACATCTCGAAGTCCGACATCTATTGCTACACACGGAGATAGGGGGGAGGCTGGACGCTGCGATTCCTTGTCGGTGTATCGTACGAAAGCATCCGGGAATTAATACAAGGCATCGGTGTCCGAAGGAAGATGAAACTGTATCAGAACTACACATCAAGACTGTTGCTTATACTCGTCCGGTCAGATTAATGAGCTGCTGGCCACCAACATCACTCTTGTCGGCGTATGCGTGGCGTACTTGATGTTTCCCTTTGGTCTTGGGAGGCGTTTTGGATCCTTATGGCTTTCATGAGTTGCACAAGCAAGTAACGACGATACCCAATCCTTACCATAGCCTATTATTAGCAACTATCCTTTCACACTAAACTCGTGAACACCACTGCCGATGACCATGGAGCGATGATTTCACACTAGAACTATCTATAATGATCACACAGACACGATCAAACAGCTTGTATCCCACAAAGTCCTTGCAACTATAAGCCAGCGCATGCTTTTCTGGACTCATTGTTTTCGTGCCAAGCACCTGCCGATTGCTCCACGTGAAAGGGCGATCAAACTAGCGCGTGCACAGACCATCGAATCTAAGCTCCACAACGCGAAAGAAGCAGAACACATCTCACCCATCTTGCGATACAGGTAATATTCTAGGTAACATGATTCCAAGAAGGTTGGGAAGCGCCATACGGCTCAAATGCGCCGGCAAAGCACAGCCTCAAACAAGGTTACAGAGGCCACTCGCGGTGACGACCCGTGCTATACGGCCACACACAGGACGCGTTCATACCTCAAGTCTGTCGTCACGTGCCTTCTCACAGACAAGACTCCTACAAACTCATCCCAAGAGTTCAAGAACCAATGGAAAAGATATCCCCCTCTCCAACACGCGTCGGAATCAACCGACCAAGGACCCCACAACCACACTCCTAGAATCACGCTTCCCAACCAAAACCGTCCTTGTACTCCTCACCATAGGCGGCCTAGCATACTACTTCGTCGACATAGTAGAAACCGACTGGACAGACAGCGTCTACGGCGCCTTCGAAACCGGCGACGATGCCTCGCAGCTCGCCCAACCCCTCCACTTCTACTCCTCAAAAGAAGAAGTGCAACACATCCTCGACTTCCACATCCCAGACCCCAGCGCCCCGATGAAAGACCCCGCCGTAGCGAAGTTCTTCTCGGAGCAATTCGACAAGCTATGCTACGGGTGGATGATGACGCCCGATGATTCAAAGAAGGGCGTCGAAGGCATGCCAGACGTGCAGATGCCCATAACACACGGATGTCGGTTCCGCAGCAACGAGCCATGTGAGGATTTCTTCGCACTAGGAACGTCGCCTGGTCCCGGGCAGAACCTGTGGAATTACTGGACCGTACTAGATGGGCATGCAGGACGACACACGGCATTCTACCTCCAATGGACACTCATCCCCATGGTATCCTCCGCACTCAGCACCCTAACACCGCACGCCTCCAGCCACCAAATCGAAAGCAGTATAAAAACCGCCTTCCTCGCCACAGACAAAAGTATCATGTCCCGCGCCAAAACAGCCGCAGCCTGGTTCCCCGCCGCCAACGCCGCCGCCATCGCCGCGCTCACACCCGCTTTCTCGGGGTCCTGCGCGCTCCTCGCTGCATTCGATCCCCAGACCTCCAAGTTACGCGTAGCATGCACAGGAGACTCGCGCGCCGTCCTAGGCCGCTGGGACCCGTCCACATCCTCCTACACGGCAATCCCCCTCTCCGAAGACCAAACCGGCTTCAACAATAAGGAAGTGGAGAGATTGGCAAACGAACACCCCGACGAACCCTCCGTCATAGACCCCAAAACAGGCCGCATGCTCGGCATAGCCGTAACCCGCGGCTTCGGCGACCACCGCTGGAAATGGGATAACGAGACTATCAAGGCGTGCCAGCACAAATTCTGGGGTACGGCGCCAAGGCCAGGGAATTTGAGCCCGCCCTATATGACGGCAGAGCCTGAGGTAACGGAAACGGATGTTGTGAGGAGGGAGCCGCGGGATGGCATGCTGTGTGGTGATGACGGTACAGCAGAAGGAGAAGGGGGCAAAAGCGATTTCCTTATCCTCGCTTCAGACGGCCTATGGGACCGGATTTCTTCCGAACACGCCGTCGAGTGCGTGTCCCGCTATCTCTCCGCGCGCGCCCGTGGCCAGGGTTCCGTGAAGGCGGACCCGGAACTCCTGGCGAACCCACCCGTTTTCCCGTCTAACTTCTCCAGCTTGGACCCGGGTGTGACGTGCGACCCCGCGGCAGGCGAAGACGTGGATTGGAAAGCGGAGCCGCAGTATTTTGCGATTGAAGATGAGAATGCGGCGGTTTGTTTGGCGAGGAATGCGATGGGTGGGAATAGGAGGGGGTTGTTCCTTGGGGTTTTGGCGGGGCCGGAGCCGTTGAGTAGGAATGCGGTGGATGATACTACTATTATGGTTGTTTTCTTTGATAAATTGGAGGAGGGGAAGGCGAGCAGGGGTAAAAAGGTAGAAGAGAGTAGGAGTGGGGATGGGGAGAAGAAGAAGAGGTGGTGGTGGCCGTTGTGAGGGACGAGATGACGGAATGGGACGGGATGTGACTATGTAGAAATAAAGGCAAGAAACGGGAGGGAAGTCTAGATATCGAAAAGACCGAGATTCCACGTCGTTATAATAATCATCAACAAGATCGATGTGCTCATAAACAGGAGACACAGCCTCCCAACCACCCTGGATAATCTGGATATCAACGAGATCGGTGTGCTCATGTCATGACAAGAAGCCACCATCACCCCTCCTCCTCCCCTCCGCCTCCCCCACCCACCCTGAAGAAGAAGAGGTGGTGGTGGCCGTTGTGAGGAAGACGTAAGTACATAAAAGAGAAAAGAGGAATAGACAATGTGACAGCATGGTTCATACGATGAGATATGGATGGCTTCCTGATTTCAGTTCAGATCTGAGATGCCTCCTAGTAGACTACACAAAACAAAGCAAGAGAGTAGTGATGTCGCTATCCTCCCAATCTCCCTCCGTCTCGCCAAAAAAACAACGCCATTCCACGCCTCCAGCCTCAGCCATGCAAATGCTCCATCCCCATCCTCCCAAATCAAAAAAGAATAATGATATCTGATATCACAACCCCCCATCCGAAAACCGCAACAGTCCCGCCCTCCGTCTGACTTTCCTCATCTCCTCATCACTCCCACCCCTACTCCTACGCCTCTTCCTACCACTCATACCACCTACCCACCCCCGCTTAAAGCATAACCCCAACCCTTTCCAAGCCCCCCTACCCATACCCCAATACATACATCTGCGCGCCCACTGCCCACTCGCATAAACAACGCCATACCTCTCGCTGTACACACGGATATCTTCCCGAGCCATGTGGAGCGCAAGAATACATGGCTTATATGGCTGACCCACCTCCTAGGAATACTACTGTAGGAAATCGCGTTGAACGTTGATGAAAGCGCCGGGCCCGCCGTCGTCGGCGAGTTCGGTGACGAGGGCTTCGGTTTGTTGGATGAGGCGTTCGAGGGCTGCGGAGGAGGATTTGCCGAGGGAGACTAGGTGGGTGGAGTTAGCATGTATTCTCTGGGTGAGTGAGGGTGTGGGGGTGGCGTTAGAGGCTTGCCGTCGTTGCATAACATGACCTCCTTCTCCCTCAGGTCCTGTACGTACCTAAAATAGCGCTATTGAGTTCCTCAGCAACAGGCGCCCTCCCCGAAATCTCCAGCAAAGGCGCCAGCGAACTCTCCCGTGCATCCGCATATGCTATAAGCGCAAACGTATCCTCAAGAGCGCGCTTGACTTCCCGTCTTGGGTCGTTGGCGAACTCGGATTTCAGCTCCATGCCATATGCTATAGTTTCGCTTGTCGCTCGTTCGCTCTTGGCTACCTTGTCTTCCATGTCGTCCTCGTCGCCGACTTCCAAGTAGTCGTCTTGGTCTTTGTTGTCCCAGCTGGGAGGTGGGTTGTGTACGCCTAGTTGCTCGTCGAGCTCCATTTCGAAATCGTATTCTTCTGTTGCGGTTGAGTTGCGCTTGTTGGGGTTTGAAGTGGCGGATCGTTTGGATGATGGTGCTGGTGCGGATTGGCATTGTGCGTTCAACTCTCCGCATCGTCGGATCATCTCGATGAATTTTCGGCAGCGGAGTTTGAAGTAGATGTTTTCGTTGTCGCGGAGCACTGAGGGGTAGTATGCGGTGGTGTGCTTAAGCGCCTTGTCAATGTCGCCCTCAAGAATTGCTGTCCGTATTTCTGCTTCCTGTTAGCCTGCGTTTGTACCCTGAGGGACGAACTTACTTTGCCGGTTCAGCGCATCCAGATCTTCCACTGCTGCTCGGTATGAAACGTCTTCCTCGTTGTTATTCGCAAGCGCTCTTGCTTCCTCGACAATCTCATCCGAGAAAGCACGTGTAGTCTCTACGTAGCCGTCGTGCGCCAGATATTGTCCCACCAGCTGATGTATCAACGCATCCTCGCCTCCCAACGCACCCGCCTCTGTTTTGGTCCGGGCGATCTCAGCTTGTATGGCAGCCTTCTCGTCTTGTACCATCTTGTCGATATCGAAAGCGAAGGGTTCCTGGCCAAAGTTTACGCGGACCATCTCGCCGGGCTTCTTCATGCCTACGGTAGGATAGTACGGCATATTGGGTTTCAGATCTCGGAAAGCCGTCCCTGACCTCGTTAGTACTATCCGTATCCCTCACTTCGCGTACTCACCTTGCATATGACCATTCTTCGTGAAGAACGCAGTATTCGTCCGAAAGTTGATGCCACAGCCGATAACATCCAGTGTGCCAAACTTAGGCCCATATGATTTTCCAGAAGTGGTATTACTAAAGACCTGGCCATCGTCGCCATGGTATGCATACGAGTCGGGCTCCCAGCCCGGTATCCTACTCAGGGCGACTTTGGGTCCTGAGAAGCCTACTCCGATCATTCTACTGCCCGGTGAATTAGCGTGTGCATTAAAAGGTGTCAAACAAACATACCCATCTTTCCCCTTAGAAACGACAGTAACCTCGTAGTAGTAGATCCCACACTGCCGCGGCATGGGAAAGTCCGCGCGAACCGACGCAGCTTCATCGTGTGTCTTCTGTGAGCCCGAGAACTTGGCCAGCCTCTGACCATCCTCCAACTCAAGCTGAGGAAATCTGTCTGCGTCATTCCACCGTGTCGGCCATGGCGCTACCGGCTCATCCACAAAGACGGGCGCACGCTCTACTATCTCATGCGTGAGACCGCGATGTGACGGCGTCATCTTGTGCAGGTTGACGCTGCTAGAACTAGTAGACAGCGAGCCTGCATTCGACGAGTGCGTTGACTTGTACTCCCGCTGGGCTGCCAGCTTCGCCTTGTGCGCCTCTTGTAACTTCTCGGCGTGCTTGGACCCGCGCAGGTAGGAAGGCACGAAGAACGGCGGTATATCCTGTGTCGATCCTCCCAAGCCATGCCAGTAGCCAGACTGGCTGGAGTATGAGGGCAGTGGCCCACCGGCCCTTCCGAAACTCGTAGACATGTGGCCGTCGGCGTCGATGGAGCGAGAGAGGCGGTTCGGGTGCGATGTTGAGCCGCTGTTGGCGAGATGTGCAAAGGCGCCGGATCGGGTGGGTTGTTGGAATGAGCTATTGCTGCCTGCCGATGCAGCAGCTACTCTGGCGTAGCTGTCCCTCCGAGGATTCATAGTGGTCGATAGTGGCGCTGCTGCCAACTACCAGCGTGTTCGGGCGGACGTTTGGAAGCGATCGCAAAGGGCGGACACGCAGACTACGCGAGTAGTAATGGTCGGGCGGGTGGTCGTAGTCGCTGACGGGATTTGGAGATGTCCAACAGCGCAGTGACGCGTGGGCTAGCTGTCTCTGGCGCCGAGTGAATGCGGTACTCTGTGCTGGAAGGTGCCAACGGCAAGGGCAAGAATCAACGGCACCCGGGCTCCTGTGAGGCGATCGTCACAAATGCATTCATGGTATCATCAGCGGAGGATTTGTTGCAGGAAAGCTAGCGAAGGTGTGCTGGGCAGGTTGTACGTCAATGAGGTCCATGGGCGGAGGTTTGGATGCGCCGAGCTATCGGTGGAGATCCCCGCGATCCACGGGTACGATAACGCCATCCAGGTCACGCTCATCCTTGACATTCATCATACTATGTAGCTTCAAAAGTGGGCACCCTACAATCTCAAGGCGCGAGAAGATACACACTGTCACGTTGAAAACCTTTGGCCTGACATGCTCGCAATACCCGCTACCGAGGTCCTCAGGATGCATGGACAAGTACTTGTAGTTTGACATGGATATTCAATTCTCTCCATAATGCTATGCAAAGCCCCTTTCCGTCTCTATCCGGATTCCATGTCCGTATCCAGTATTTGTGATGTCCATTCACAACATACTTGTGCGCCGTACACCATGCTGCCCGTGGCAAGCCAGTGACGCCCCAGTTGGCGCCTTTTACGTAGTAATGCAATGCGCTCCCTCAACGCCAAACAAGACAAAGGAAGCAATTCGATATGGTAAACAGGTAGCAAGAAATAAAGGTAGGTCGAGCCGCAAGAGGTGCCGGCTATAGCAGGAGTACATCAAAGGAAATGGGACCAAGAGCGTTCATGCCTCAAGCGGGAATAGGAGCAGGAGAGCTTGCTATGCCGTTCATGGGCGTTGGTACGGGTGTGCTGTCGCCGTTCAGTCCGCTCTTGTCGCTGATTGCGCTGCTCTCGTCCTTTAGTTTGGACTCGCTGGTGCCGGTGCTGTCGCTCTTGACGTCGTCGGCGAAGGCGCCCTTGCGGCCTGGCTGGTATGTAGGCACTTGCCACATGACGCCGGTGAAGCTGCGGACCTGGAATCCCTTCTTCTCCCAGCGACGGCACTTGGCCCCTGACCTGTCGAGGGCGCGCAGACGCTCGTTGATGGCTCCCAGGTTTGCCTTGGGGCCTGCCTTGTTGATGGCTGCGGGTGCTGGGAAGGGCCCCTTGGAGTTGGGGTCGTTGATCATGTCGCCCATCTTCTTCCTCTTTGGCCCTGGCTTGGCCTTGGATGGTTTGGGGGTTGCGCCATTCGCGCCAGCCGTGCCAGCTTCCATCTGCGCGGCACTCCGCTTGCTGCCGGGCTTGGGGCCCTTCCTCTTCGAAGAGGGGGGCGCCAGCGACGACGGTGTGCTTCCATTCATGTTGGGGGTTGAGTCGGCAGGCGTGGCAGCAGGTGAGGGCTCGTTAATCTGCGGCGCGGGTGTTGGTGGAGAGGGCTTGGCCTCTTCCTTGGGCGGCGTTGCAGGCTCGTGTGGAAAGTCTCGCAGAGAATCCGGTGACAGCTTGAGTGCGACGACGAGGGTCTTTGGTGATTTCGTGGTCATGTTCGCGTGCAGAGGAACGCGGCGATGATGGACGGAGATGGCTGATGTGGAGGGCAGCAGAGATGGTGGTGGTGATGGTTTGGCCTGCAGCGGTGAGGAGAACAGACAGTGGCTCTGCCGGTCAGCGCGTTGGCGTGTCGGTGGCTAGGGTGAGCAGCAAGCTGGGTGAGCCGTGCTTCACAGGAAGTCGAGGTATCGTCGAGCTGATGAAGCGCGTCGATGCAAGCAGAGCGTGGTGAGATGCAGAGGGGGAGTGGCAGGGAGAGTGGGTGGTGACGAAGGCTGCCGCGAGGGCAAAGAAAGGGCTTCGCCGGCCCAGCTGGGGTGGTCGGTTTCCCAGATCATATTGGGCGGGAATCGTCGCTAACGTTTTCTCATTGTATTCCGACACTCCCAAGAGGAGGAGGGCGCACGGCCCCCAGTCACGCTAGCCGCATTTGTGCTCTGGATATCTCGCTGTCGCTGCTGGCAGGCAATTATCGCATGTGCATCGCGTTTTCCATTGCGTTCTCCTGTCTGTTCTGCCCGTCATGGTGTGCTCGGCAGGATGTTGGCGTTCGACTGGCGAGGTCCGTGTGGCATCGAGCTAAATTGCGCGTTCCATGGAGCGGCGGGCGGTGCGGTAGAAGCATCGCGCATCGCCCACCCGGAGTCTGACACCAACCCAACCTTTTCTTCATCCGAGACGCTCAGAGTCTGCAGTCCATCGGACATGGTTCTATACTTGGAATACCCTTACTTTTCTGGGGCTCACCGCACTGCGACGCGCCTTGCATCCTCATCCATGGTTCTATCGAGGCGCATCAGCTTGCACAGTACCGCTGACTCTCATGCATCGCCCCTGGGCCTGATCACAATCCACAACCAGGGACGACGCCTACCAACCGAGGCCGAGTGACGTTTGCTAGACCTGCCGCCGCATCCATCGTAGCCCCAGCCATCCACGATTAATCCAGACACGTCGCAGCATTTGTGTTGAGTTAGCCTTGCCCAGAACATGTTCAAGGTCATCACCTTCAGATCAACGCCAGAACAGGTTTCATCGTCGTTTGTGTGATGAAGCGACGCCGCGCCACGCCATCCGAAGTCAATCCGTGCCAATAATTGTGGACTCAAACATGTGCTACCGCCTACCATATGGAGGAACACGGTGCTACATTTTTCTCAACACAATGCGAGGTGGGTACGACATGTGTAGTATGTCAAAATAGGTAGTCGCAACAACATGACCTTTTCGGAGCTCAATTGGATCCATCTTGCTAGTCGGCAGCAGGAGGCCATTTTTCATAGAAGAGAATAGTGGTCACCTAGCAATCGCAAGGAAATCAACATATATTGAATTTGAGCGATATAAAAAATGCGCAACATGTTGGGAATGTAGAGGTCAAGATCAGGACAACGCCGTTGATACGTTCGTCTCCGGAACGAAAAACACGATCGAAAACCCTTTGAGCCCACTCCGTAACGCATCATCAAACATCATGGCGTTTACAATCACCCGCGGTTCAGACGAACATCTACTTCATCGTGGAAGCGAAGTATTTGACCAGAGAAAGCACGGCATGTTAGAAGAATATCGAAGCTCATTCGCCAATATAGCATTCGAGCCGCGGTGAAGACCAAGGTAGCACGCCAACCTAGGAAAAAGCTGAACACCCTGGAGTCTACGTTGACGTTGAATCGCCTGCTTTGCAAATTTTAGAGTTGATGTAGTCTACAGATCTGTTCAGGGTTTTTCTTGTATGAGATGGTAGTAATGTATTGATAAGATTATATCCTTAGCCCTCTTCGCTGAGGCGTATATCAACCGCATATGCAATTGATGATGTCTTGAGTTCAAGCACACTCCATACATTGTTGTCATATCAGCGCGCTCTTGTCAGCACTTCCTCCCATACATCTGGTAGCAACGATATTAGCAGCCGTCTATGCTTCGTTCATCAGCCTCGCCGTCTCTTCGTCCCGTTCACTGCAGTACCGTTAGCTCTCCTTGCCTCATCACCACTAACCGCCACCTCATCATCATTCATCCACTCCTTATTAGCGCCAGGACTGCGCCGTCTGAACTGACCAGCACCCACAGCCACCACCTCATCTTCACTATCGCTCGCCTCGATATCCAACAAGACCGGCATCCTGAACTCTGCGTCGCCAATCGCCGGTCCGAATTCCGTGGCCGAGGTCTTAACAGGGTCTACGGTGAGGACGTCGACCTCTTCATCTTCGGCGTTTAGACGCCGCTTGTGCAGTTCTTCGAGGGGCTGGATGTCGAATTCGTCTTCGCGCTCGATGTATTCTACGTTTTCTTCTACTTCGACGAAGTCGGGGGCGAGGGCGGACCAGCGTTGCGGCTGGAGGATCGACCAGAGCCAGACGCGGCCTGAGTCGACTCCGACGGCGGCGACGAAGGGTCGGAATGGGTGCCACTCGACTACGGAGAGCTCTTCCTTGGTGCCTTCTAGGATCTTGACTAAACTGCCCTGGCCACGCTCCCAGACGTAGATGTGGTGGTTCATCCAGGTAGATGCTGTGACGTATTCGCCTGTAGGACTGAATGATACGTGATTCCACGAGAGCCTCTGCACAAGATCCTGGAACTTGTGCTCGACTTCCAGCTGCAGTGTGTCAAAGTCCAACTTTGGGTCGCTCAGGTCGGGTAGGTGGAGTGTCCTGACAATGCGATCGCTCGAATTGAGCACGACGTCCCTCCCTGATGGCGTCATGCGGATGTATACGATGATGTTGTTGGTGACCCGGAACGAGTAGCGGACGGCGTGTGTCTCGGTGTCTATGATGTTCAGCCACCCCTTGTTGGTGCCTGCTATGATGTGCTGGCCCGTCGGTGTAAAGAGCGTCATGGTGGTCGTCTGCTTGGCGTCTTGCGCCGTCTGCTTCTCGGAGGCATTCTCGCGTTCTATGTCGGTTCGATGGGGCGCGGACGAGAGTGAGTGTTTGACGGGGACTTCTTCGGACATGTCGACGATGACGGGCTGGTCTTCGAAGAGGGCGGCTACAAAGAGCATGCTGAAAAGCAATTAGCCAGAGCAGTGCAAAAGTGACTTGTATGCTCACTGGTTCTTTGGGTGCAGCTCCGCTATAAAGATGGCCGCTTCGAAGCGGACGGTGCGCACCCGCGAGCCATCCTTCAAGTCCCAGAGCACGCACTTCCAGTCCTGTCCGGCGCTCAGAAGATAGCGATCGTTGGTCGACCAGCTAAGAGACTGGACCTGGCGCGTGTGGCCGCGCAGCTTGCGCGCAACGCCGTTTGTCTCAATGTCGAATATGACGACGATGCCATCGTGCTGGAATCCAATCAGCGGAAATCACATGGCACGGCGTAACATTCGCGTACCCGTCCGGATGCAAGCAGATCGCCGCGGTGGCTGAAGCGAATTGACGTCGAGTGGCCGCTGCCTGCGCGTTGTCAGCTGCTGCCTGGTGGGAAAAGTAACCTGGGAACAATGTCGAACTCACGTAGGCGGCCGGTGATGACATCGGGGCAGTCCTGCGCGAGGACAAATGGATCAACCAGCGAGAGATTCATGGTGGTGCACTGCAGAGGGCGGGGAGTGCAGGGCAAGGAACTCAATTGGCAGCATCTTTACAGACGCGACTGGTGAATGAAGTCCATAGGCGCAAAGTGAGCAGCATGGAATCGGCGTGGTGCTGTCCGCGGTGGTCACTGCACGTGAGACTCGGCTAGTGCGTCAAAGCGCGGCCGCAACTCTTTGTCGCCTTCCGTCTCTAACAGCACGACGCCCTCACCACCACCCCACCCGCCATCACCAACGGCCGCTCTTACCTACTTAGAGCGCGTCTTCCACCTCGCCGACCCCGATAGTGCTCCCCCGAGCGCTTTTAATACGCGCGCACGCCTCCGACCCCGAGGCGCGACCCGGCGAGCCCCCGACCCCCGTCCGCCCTTTTCACGGGTACGACTCTTCGACCGCATCTCTTTCCGCGCGCGGCGCGCACTCAGTCTCTCACCAGGCGCCACAGCTATCGACGCAGCTACAACGGCAGTCGCACCTACTACTTAATACGCGGAGGAACCGCCCGGCGTGGCCACCGCGACCGCCGACCGATAGTTCTCTCACCCGCAGTCCCTTTCTACTTCCACCACCGCCAGGATGCCTCCCGGCGCCCCACAGGTGTCGAAATGTCCGCTCCGGACGATCAAGGAGATCCAGTTCGGGCTGCTCTCCCCCGAGGAGATCAAGGCCATGAGTGTGGTCCACATCATCTACCCGGAGACCATGGACGAGCAGAAGCAGAAGCCGCGCGAGCAGGGTCTCAACGACCCCAAGCTCGGCACCATTGACCGCATGTACTCGTGCGCGACCTGCAAGGAGGACATCCAGACCTGCCCCGGTCACTTTGGTCATATCGAACTGCACACACCCGTCTTCCACGTCGGTTTCGTCGTGAAGATCAAGAAGCTGCTCGAGACTGTCTGCCACACGTGTGGTCTGATCAAGGCTGACTTCGTAAGTCTTCCCGCGGAAGACAGAGACTTCAGATCCTAGATTTTCATGCTCATGCTAACTGCAATATCAGAACCATCCTGACTGGGCCGCCGCCGCCAAGACCAAGGATGCGAAGAAGCGTTTCGACAAGATCTGGCGCATGTCCAAGGGCAAGACCGTGTGCATGCAGGATGTCGACGACGGCAGCGACAAGAACAAGCTCCCCAAGATCGCCCACGGCGGCTGCGGCAGCAAACAGCCAGACTCTATCCGCAAGGAGGGTCTCAAGCTGACCGGCACCTGGAAACAGAGCAAGAAGGACGACGACGACGGCCAAGGCGACCGCAAGGAAGTCATCACACCGAAGCAGGCGCAGACTATCTTCAAGCTCATGTCTGACAACACACTCCAACTGCTCGGTCTGAACGCCGACTACGCTCGCCCTGAATGGATGATTCTCGATGTCCTGCCAGTACCTCCACCTCCGGTTCGCCCCAGTATCTCCGTCGACGGTACCGGCCAGGGTATGCGTGGAGAGGACGATTTGACCTACAAGCTTGGAGACATTATCCGCGCCAACGGTCGTGTCGCAGAATGTCAGCAGGAGGGTTCGCCTGCTCACGTAACGGCCGAGTTTGAGGCTCTCGTCCAGTATCACGTCGCCACCTACATGGACAACGACGCCAACGGTGTTCCACAGGCCATGCAGAAGTCTGGCCGACCGCTCAAGACTATCCGTGGTCGCTTGAAGGGCAAGGAGGGTCGTCTTCGTGGTAACTTGATGGGAAAGCGTGTCGACTTCTCCGCACGTACTGTCATCACCGGTGACCCTAACCTGTCACTGGACCAAGTCGGTGTGCCCCGATCTATCGCACGTACCCTGACATACCCCGAGGTTGTCACCAAGTTCAACATCAGCAAGCTGACGAACCTGGTGCGCAACGGTCCTAACCAACACCCTGGTGCCAACTACGTCATCAAGGCCGACGGTGTCCGTCTCGACCTCAAGCACAACAAGAACCTCGACGACCTGCGGTTACAGTACGGCTGGAAGGTCGAGCGCCACATTGACGACGACGATGTCATCATCTTCAACCGTCAGCCCTCGCTGCACAAGGAATCCATGATGGGACATCGCGTCAAGGTCATGCCCTACTCAACCTTCCGTCTCAACTTGTCCGTCACATCACCCTACAACGCTGATTTCGACGGTGACGAGATGAATCTTCACGTCCCCCAGAGTGACGAGACCCGCGCTGAGGTGCAGAACTTGTGCATGGTTCCCAAGCAGATTGTATCACCACAGAAGAACCAGCCCTTGATGGGTATCGTGCAGGACACGCTTCTCGGTGTTTACAAGATGAGTCGTCGTGACAACTTCATCCCCATCGAGCAGGTCATGCCCATCCTCATGTGGGTGCCTGATTGGGATGGTATTGTTCCAGAGCCGGCCATTCTGAAGCCCAAGCCTCTCTGGACTGGTAAGCAGATTATCAGTATGGCTTTCCCACGCGAGGTAAACATTGAGAAGAAGGAGGCGGACTCCAAGCCCAATGCATACAACGACATCGTCGACAAGTCGTTCGCTATCAAGGGTGGTCAGCTGCTTTACGGTCAGGTCACAAAGAAGATTGTCGGAGCCTCTGCAGGTGGTGTTATTCACATCATCTTCAACGAGCTCGGACCGGATGCAGCAGTCAAGTTCTTCAATGCCTGCCAGCGCATCTGTAACTGGTGGCTTCTTACGTACGGTTTCAGTTTCGGTGTGGGTGACACCATCCCGGACCCTGCCACCTCCGACAAGATTGCCTCCGAGATTGGCAAGTCCAAGGCCAAGGTTGAGGAGATCATTGCGACGGCTACTAAGGACGCGCTTGAGCCCATGCCTGGTATGACGATTCGTGGTACATTCGAATCCAAGGTCCAGAAGTTCCTCAACGAAGGTCGTGAGGGTGGAGGTACCGCGGCTCAGACCAGTTTGAAGGATTTCAACAACGTTGTCCAAACTGTCGTCTCCGGTTCCAAGGGTTCCACTGTCAACATCTCTCAGATGGTTGCCCTCGTCGGTCAACAAGCTGTGGAAGGACAGCGTATTCCCTATGGTTTCAAGTACCGGACGCTGCCGCATTTCTCCAAGGATGACTACTCGCCAGAGTCTCGTGGATTCGTCGAAAACTCGTATCTGCGCGGTCTTACGCCATCGGAGTTCTTCTTCCACGCCATGGCTGGTCGTGAGGGTTTGATCGACACAGCAGTCAAGACAGCTGAGACTGGTTACATTCAACGTCGTCTCGTCAAGGCGCTCGAAGATGTTATGGTGAAGTACGATGGAACTGTGCGTAACTCTATGGGAGATATCGTTGAGTTCATCTACGGTGAAGATGGTTTGGATGGCGCACACATTGAGAACCAGTCCATGGATATCCTCATGGCTTCCGAGGCCGACTTTGAGGATGGATACAAGCTTGACGTTCTCACGACGGACTACCCGGAGATTCCGGTGTCGAAGCTGGAGGGTGCTACTATGTTCCAGGGTGACGTCGACGTTCAACGAGCCCTGGACGAAGAGTTCGAGATGATCAAACTTGATCGTCAGACTCTCCGCAAGAATGTGACCGACGAGAACCTAGAGTCCTTCCAGTTGCCGCTCAACATTCAGCGTATGATCCGGTCCGCTCAGGCGCGGTTTAATATCAACCCCGAGAAGGCTGTCAGCAACCTACACCCCATCGAGACCATCAGACAGGTACAGGAGACTCTGGAGCGATTGGTTGTTATTCGTGGCACCGACGAACTGTCAAGAGAGGCCCAAAGCAGTGCAACGTATCTGTTCAAGGCTCATCTTCGCGCTCGTCTCGCATACAAGAAGCTTGTCGTTCAGCATCGCCTGAACAAGGAGGCCCTGAACTATGTTCTTGGTGAACTCGAAGACCGTTTCCTCAAGGCCGCTGTCGCTCCTGGTGAGATGGTAGGTGTTCTGGCCGCGCAGTCCATCGGTGAACCCGCTACACAAATGACGCTTAACACTTTCCATTTTGCCGGTGTGTCTTCTAAGAACGTCACTCTCGGTGTGCCTCGTCTCAAGGAAATTCTGAACGTCGCTGCCAACATCAAGACTCCATCTATGTTGGTCCGCCAAACAGACTCCAAGGCCAGCCAACAGGATGCCAAGCGCCTGCGAAGCACCATCGAGCTCACAACCCTCCGCTCATTGACACAAGCTGTTGAGCTTTACTACGACCCCGACATCCAGTCCACGCTAGTTGAGGAGGACCAGGACATGGTTGAGTCCTACTTCATTCTTCCCGAAGAGGACGAAGTTATTGAGTCCCAGTCCAAGTGGTTGCTTCGAATCATCCTCGACCGCAAGAAGTTGTTGGACAAGAGTATCACCATTGGCGAAGTTGCCGGCAAGATCAAGGAAGAGTTCAAGCCTAATCTGGCAGTCATCTTCAGTGACGAGAACGCCGACGAGCAGGTCATGCGTGTTCGTTTCATCTGGGACCAGAACCTCCAGAAGGATGACGAGGATGAGGACGAGCGTGACGAGCGATGGATGCGCAAGCTTGAGAAGCATCTTCTCGATGACGTTACGCTACGTGGTGTTCGCGGTATCGAGCGTGCTTTCATCCGAGACCACATCACTACCGTTGAGTTGGCAGACAAGTCTCTCGTGCACTCGAAGAACAAGGACGAGTGTAAGGAGTGGGTGCTCGATACTACAGGTACTGCACTGGCCGAGGTGCTTGCCATTGAGGGCGTTGATGCCACCAAGACCTACTCCAACTCTTTCATCGAGATCCTCGCTGTTCTTGGAATCGAAGCAGCTCGTGCTGGTCTACTCAAAGAGCTGGGTATGGTCTTGTCCTTCGACGGTTCTTACGTCAACCATCGTCACATGGCCTTGCTCGTCGACATCATGTGCCAACGTGGTCTTCTCATGGCCATCACCCGTCACGGTATCAACCGTAACGACACTGGCGCTCTTATGCGTTGTTCTTTCGAAGAGACGGTCGAGATTCTCCTGGAAGCTGCCGGATTTGGTGAACTGGACGACTGCCGTGGTGTATCTGAGAACATCATGCTCGGTCAGTTGGCGCCTATGGGTACCGGAGAGTTCGACGTGGTCATGGACAATGCCATGCTTCTCACCATGGTGGAGGACAACTCCAAGATGATGGGTGGCGCTGCTGGCGCTGGCAACTACCTGAGTGACGGAGCCAACACACCCTACGACTTGGGCTCTCCCACGTACGAGGGTGGCATGGGTGTCGGCTCTTACGATCAGGTTTCGTTCTCTCCTATGGCTGCCGCTGGTGGAGGTGACGATTCCGGTGGTCTCACTGACTATGGTCGCATGTACGGAGGTGGTGGTTTCAGCCCCGGCGGGTACGACGGAGGCAGAAGCCCGGGTGGTTCAGGCTTCACTGGCATGTCCCCTGGCTTTACCAGCCCAGTGTCTCCAGGCTTCTCGCCAACTTCGCCTGGTTACTCGCCTACCTCGCCTGGTACTGCCAGCCCTCGGTTCGCCGCAACATCACCAGGATACATGGCTTCGCCTACATCCCCGCACTACTCGCCTACATCGCCTCGATACGGCTCACCCACATCACCGTCGTACTCGCCCACATCTCCTGCTGGCTACTCCCCGACGTCGCCTCAATACTCTCCCACATCGCCCAACTACAGCCCGACGTCCCCAACGTTCATGGGTGGCGCGACCTCCCCCGCGTACAGCCCGACTTCGCCACAATACAGCCCCACATCGCCGCAGTACAGTCCCACAAGCCCTCAGTACCAAGCGAGCAGCAACAGGCAGTCTCCGACTTCACCCACGTCGCCGCAGTACAGCCCGACGTCGCCTCGCTACTCGCCTACGAGTCCAGCAGGCTCCTTCTCACCTACTTCCCCGCGCTACAGCCCTACCTCTCCGGGCGGAGCGTACTCTCCTACGTAAGTACCCCTTTGGTCATAGTTGTAGACAACCCTCCGTTTTATCTTGCACGTGCTGACGTTTATTTCCAGATCTCCAAAGCAATAGTTGGCTTGATGGCGATGTAGGTATCGGAGCCTTCTTTTTTCCCTCTCGATCTCTCCTTCTAGTTTTTGTGTATGAAAATGTTCTTTTCCTCCTCTCTCTTTGCCATGGATTGATGATCTGGATGAGTGACCTCTTCCGGTGTGAAAATGTCGAGCAAGTGTCCTGCATGCCTGCTCCCCTTCTCCCCCGAGAGTGCTCTCTCCTAGAACTTCATTTCGGCCATGGTTGCTCTACCCTATCACGGCTGGTCTCGTATGGCAGTCTCATGTCTGTATATGTGGTATGCCGTTCCTTTAACTAGGCTCACGGCACTACTACCGCTACATATCATGGATCTGCGCAACGAGTGATGGGGCTTACTTCCCTCTTTTTATGCTTTTGTACCACTATTATCCGAAGCTGCACGGTTGTGGCACCAAAAACCTTGCTTTTTGCGCGTTTCTTCTTTTTTACTCTTGTCACGCGGTTCAAGATTGCATACAAACACCCTGAGTTCCCTTCTACGCGGCTGGGGTTGTTTTACGGGCGTTTAATCATTGCTTGCTTTTTACCTTTTCGGAAGAAAATTGCGCATGGGCGTTTGGAAGCTGAGCGTTGCTATTATCGAGTTACTGCTTCGCGCGCCCTTATAACATAATCGGGGGCTTTCTTTTTGGGAGATGGATGCTTGCGCATGTTTAGAAAGACAGCCCGCTATAAATTGCGTTTCGATGGGGCTTTTTTTCATTTGCGAGGAAAGGGATGGAGGAAAATGAGACGCATGAGATGGGAATATAGAGTCACGTTGTTGCGTTGCTGCGCGTTGGCTGAGTCGGAGTCGGAGTAGATAATTAAGAAGAAATATGACGATGTTATTGTCAAATGGTGTATATCATGCGTGGTGTCATATGTGTTGGTGTTCTTCCCCTTGTCCGTCTATGAGAGTGTTGTATTGTGAGATACTGCTAGCAAGTTCTGCGCTCAAAATGAAGAGCTTAGCTGTAGTCACTTCCAGTAAACCTATATGTAGACATAGCCTACATTAGGCGCTACGTGCCGCCTTTGTACGACTAGGTATACGAAGGAGAAAGGCGATGATGCAGGTGTCGTGGTTTCCGCACTTGGTAGCCGCGCGATCACGTGTCTTGGTGTGCGGCCTTTGCTTCCGCGCTGAGGGTCGCTTCCTCGCCTTTACACCTCACTCCATCCTCACACTTTGGACCGTAGATTGTCACGAATGCTTTGCTACTTCTTATCACGGCAGACGCAAATCAAGCTCGCTTGCGAAATGACCAAAAGGAAAAGGCCTGGCTCCTGGTGGGTCGCTCTTTGTGGTTGCCGTTTGCGTCCGCGCGGCGGAATGTACTTACCTCAAGTTCGTCATACAATACCGCCTACAGCGGGCTCGTCACAACTTCTACCTACCGCTATATAACGATGCATATAACGCTTGCGCACCACTACTTCCTCGCCTGGACGATCGAGCGGCAGCGTGGGAGCGTCGACAGCCTACTTACAGTTACCGGTATATGTCCTGAAGCACGCCTCAATGCGCTCCCTCAACGTCGCATGTAGCAGTTCACGCCTGTGTTCTTCCGCTTCTCTTAGAAGACTATCGTACATCACGGGACAGAAAGAGATAGCTTTGGAATTCATTATATGATACTTCGAAATCACGCTATATCAAAACTAGCGCATCGGCTTCGCTATATCATCGCTAGGCACCTGGTTCAGGAATATTCAGGACGAGACACCGACTGCGTGTACGAGGTGTCCCTGCAAACGACCCTTCAGGGGTCTTAGAAAGATGGGCGAACGGGACTTTACGACCCCTGCTGCTCCTGGATCGGACCCAGGACTTTTGTATAGTCCTTCTTGCCTCCTTTCGTGGTGTTGTTCGGGTTACGCCTGGCCTTGGCGTCGAGGACTGGATTACCTGGTGTTGAGTTGCTTACAGCTTTCCGGGAGTTGAGGATAGTGTCCGACGCAAAAGATTGGGACGCGGCGTTTGATCTGTCCTCAAGCAAGTAACTTTTGTTTTTCAGCGCTCTCTGGATGTTGGAAACTTGACGTTCCAGTTCTTTGGCAGTCGCAAGCTCGCCGCGTTGCTTCGCCACGGTAATCTTAGCCTGGACCTCCTCAAGTTCCTCCAAGACCTGCTGCTTCCGCTGGTGATCCGTCAAAGGGATCGCTGGAGCGCCGGTATCTTTGATCATACCATATGTGACGTTCTCATCCCAATGCATGAGATCATAGATGCGGTTTGGGCCATCCTTATACACTGCTTTGGGGTGGTCTGTACATTGCTGCGATCTTACGCAAAACGCATTCATGCACCGGACACGATAGACTTCTCCCTCGTACGGAAAATCGATCCACTCTAAGCAAAAGCCAAACTTGCCGGCCTTGAAAGCCGCGCGGTTCTTAGTGCCCTCGCCGGGCACATGATGGGATGAGTCGAACAATGCGCCTGTGGCACCGTTCTTCACATCGCTATTCCAAACTCCACCACTCCAGACTCTGACTGTCTTAGAATAGAGTTCGTCAAAACTTTTGATGATGGAGTCATCAGGTTGTGTCTGCTCCGTGAAGGTGAGTCGAAGAGGGAGTGACTTGGCCTTCGTTTCTTTTCTGGACTCTCCACCGCCGTGCTTGCTCCTCCAACCTTTTAACATGGGCATCTTGGAATATCTTCCGGTTCTGGGACAGCAGGATATGCTACACAGAGGACTGGAAAGTACAAGGGCTTTACAGCGGCTATGTATTACGACCGAGAATACGAATGGGATAGCGGTCCTTAGGACTGTGGGTGATTAAGGGGTAAGAAATGAAGAAGTTCGGTAAGATCGAGGACGTATCACAGGTTTGGGTGCTCTGGGTACGCGTTTTCTCGTGAGAGGCTACAGCGCTTGGTCGTAAGGTTGAAAGTGCTGCGAAAGAGAGCAGGTCGTGGAGTAAGTTGTGCGTGTATACTAATAGTAGAGGGAGCGCCTTTTGATATACCGCGAGGCGCCAAAGGTGAATGCTATAGCGGCAACTGGGTTACCACAGTCTGGGTAGGCTTGCGTGCGCTGATGGTACTTCACATTATTGGCCAAGCTAATGAAACACAGAAGACCTCATACCGATCCTAGCAGAGTTCACAGTCGACTTTCACGCACATCATACCACCGAGAGACTATTACATCTAAAGATCCGGACATCTTCGGGCCAACATCAGACATGACGATCTCTTCTTCTACCTTGTCGGCATTATAGAAGATCGAAGACATCATCTGCAATGCACAACAGCGAGGTCTTGGCCCCTTGCCTTGTGTCCTTCATTGTGAAACTACAAGGTATGTGGTATGTGACCATCCCAACATAGAATTACGAGTTGTCTGACATGGTCCAGAACCTATAGATCGCTGCCCCAATGATCATAGAAACGCTTACTCTTCATTTCACTCACGTGGTAGAAGTTTATTGACAAACACGAAGGCTCGGGTAGTGGTCTTGGCTCAGTACGCCGATGCTTCACGTGCACGAGCTTCTGTTGTTTCCAGCGTGATTCACGCTCTGGTCCCACAAAAGGCGCAGCCGTACTGATGTGGATTCACTGTAGTTGCGACCCCTTCTTAGTATACATTCTCCCTTTCGCTCCTTTGTTGTTGCGGGCCCTTTGTCTAGAGTGGGCGACTCAACCTCCAAAACAGCAACTCTCAAGCCTGAAGCTACCAAGACTGGACCACCAAACTCTCCTCTGTGCGCGCAAAGCATTACGGACGGAATCGATTTACCTTTACACCAATGTTCGATTTCAAGAACAAGAAGGGTGGGCGCGCGGCGACTGCTACCTTATCTCCCATCACCAACACGTCTGATGCTACTCAGCGTAGCCGATTAGAGAAGGTATTGAACATCGGCAAGACCATACGGTACTCATTCTCCATTACTCTGGGCCGCAAAACTTCTAGAGAGCCGTCCCCGACGAATCAGTCAATCTCCCCGATTCGTCTACCAAGCGACACGCCGACAGCCACGACGGGTTCTTATCACATTCCAGAAGCCTGCAATACTGATCCAAACTCGCCATCGTCTTCGAACTCGACAGCTGCAACCGAACATTCTCTCCCACGTCCTGACTGTGGCGACATATTCTTCGTGCCAGGTATATCTCCTTCTCCCGAAACGCATTCGGATCCAGAGCAAGCACAAATTCAGAAGCAAGACAGCCTGCCTGTACACTCGTCGGTACCTATTGCCTGCCACATCTCCACAAATACCGTGAACCAAACTCGAGGCGAAATCCCTGCGAAGCCGGAGCAGCTTCCCATGGAAAAGGAAAAGACCCATCGTTTGCGCAGCTATATGAAGGCTTTCTGGAAGAAGATTGCCTTCCCGCAACGTAGGGCCCCCCGATTCTCCAAATTCGATTCAAATAAGCCAAAACGCAATGACTCGGCTATTGGCTCGGGTACACCTCCTGATACTGGTACGGAGAAGCAGTCCGAAAGCACGAATACCGATACCCAGGATTCAGATGAAAATGATCGTTGCGATTGGGATACGATTGACGCGATTCCAAATGAGAAGTACTGCGAACTCGTCAAAGCTTGCAACCTCACGTCTTCTCCTACGGCCAGCGTTGAAGTGGTGCGCTTTGGGAAGGGCACGTACAACTTGGCGGCTTTTGTCAATGTCTGTGAAGGCGAACAAACTCACAAGTACATTGTCCGCGTCCCTGGACATGGCACTCTCGAACACTGGACGGAAGAAGATTCCTACGTGCTGAAGAACGAGGCTCAGCTAATTGAGTACATCCGCAAGAACACAATCGTGCCTGTCGCACAAGTCATTCACTACTCCACGGGCCACGAGAATGCACTTGGTTTCCCGTACATCCTTATGACGATGTTACCAGGTATGCCCGCTTGGAAGACTTGGTTTCCATCAGAAGATTACCCCGATGGACTCGATGAGGAAACTGCCTTCCTCAACGCGGACGTCCCGCCTCCCCATATTGAGAAGAAGCGTATCAAGTTTCTACGCTCATTAGCACAGGCGATGACGCAGATCGGGAGCCTTGAGTTTAATGCCATTGGAGCACCTACCTTCGACGACGACGGTAATCTGACCGGTATCGGACCTACGTGCCACTGGACGGACGAGCTTGGTGATGAAGCTTTCAAACGTCCAGCGGCTGCTACTACCGAGGAGTATTTCCAAGCCCGCCTGACAGCCAAGCTGAAACAGCTCAATGATAAGATCATCAAAAATATACTAGACGAAAACAAAGGGTGGGAAGGCCGTTCGCATGAGGCCAGGGGTTTAATAACCATCTTTTGCATGCTTTTCCGTGAGTCGGCGTTCCGCGGGCAACCTGGCGAGACATTCACCCTTCACCACAACGACCTCGATCTGCAAAACATTCTCTGCGACGACGAGGGAAATGTAACTGGAATAATCGACTGGGACAACGCCATGACGGCACCCCGCTGTATCGGCGCCACAGCCGTCCCCATGTTTCTCCGCCACGACTGGTTCCCACCCTACGTCTTCAACCTGCATTATGCGCCCTACATGGCATGGAACTACGAACACTACCGCGAAATCTACGCCTCTGCCATTGCCGAAGCTAGCGATGCTCAAAATGCAGAGTTCACTGTGCGATCGGCTCTTTACCAGGCGGCTGCCGCTGTAGTGACTCAAGGTGGGGACGAATACGACCTCGTGCGGAAGCTGCTTAAGGAGATCCCTCATCTTCGTGTAGGCTGGTGGCAGTTCATTGAGGGGCTGGGTCAGGGCGGTTGGGACTCTGCGCGCGACTTGCTAGAGAAGAATTTTGCGCGGATCTTTGAGCCGGTGATGCCGCCTGAGGGTCTTCTTGAGGCGCTGGATGAAGAGCTGGAGATGCAGACTACCTGGTGGTCGTGCTGTGATGAGCTGATCGAGCTTTATGAGGCTGAGAAGGAGGGGAACGGCGATGAAGAGGAGGACGGTGCTGAGGAAGCAGGGCATGATACCGCCGTCGTCTCAGGTTGAAGGGACAGAAAGTCCAAACCTCGAATAACATACTACGCCTCCCTCGGAAACCGGCGATAGCCAACTTTTTCGATTGAGCATCCAACTACCTCAAACCTCATCGACCGGTAAACATCGCAAATATCGAGGAAAAGAGACTGCCCTACCATCGCGTTGCCGTACGATACGACGCCTGGCTCCTTACAAGTGTTGCCTCCATACGACGGCGCCTTGAAGTGATACGCCGACGTAACATCGTAAGTGCTCGATACGCAGCATGCTCTACTATGACGGCACGCATGCTTAGAAGTTCACGGTCGCCAACGCGCAAAGTTCGTTTTTCGATTCTGTTATCTGACATTAGCTAATATACATCCAATACATATAGACCTAATTAGGAAGTAAATCTACCACACATGATACCTGGCCATGTGATTAAATGTGACCAGATTCGCATACCATCACGACAGGATTTGTGTTTCGCGTTGGTAATGTATGAAGATTTGCATTAATTACGTAGAACAGCCAGCCAGATGTCGCAATACTAGCAGTACAATCTTGACCCCAATCCTAAACACCAAAGTGGCTTCAATCTACAGAACGGTGCTCTCATCGCCGGCGGTCCCGATCGTCCCGGCGATAGCGATCCCGACTCCTCTCCCAACGGCTGTCACGATGGCGATTTGGGCTACGGCTTCGCTCTCTCCTCTGATTGTACCTTCCATCATCACCATCGCGACGTTCGCGCTTGGGGCTCCGACTACGATTCCGCTTGAAGCGGTCGTCGTGGTATTCCGTCCTCCGTTCGCGTCTCCGTGTGTCGTCTCGTCGTTCATCTCTGCCGGTATCCCTCGACCGTGGCGCGGTATCTTTTGAAACGTCGCGATCGGCCACCAAGTTGTTGACAACAGAATCCGACATGATCTGGCGTCCGGAGCCATCACGATACTGCTTCTTCTTCTCGAGGTTGTCGATACCACCGAAGCCGCCAGCAGCCCGTCTCCGCTTCTTGTTCGTAACGTCCCGCCAATCGTCGGCAATCTTGGAGACGGACTGGGAGAAGTCGACGTGTATGCGGTGATCGTCGATCAGAACACCATCCATCTTGAAATAGGCCTGCTCGCAGTCCTTCTGATTGGTGTACTCGATAAAGGCGTACTGCAGGCTGTCACCTGTGCGCTTGTCCCTGATGACCTCGCAGCTGAGAATCTTGCCGAATCGCGAAAAGATAAGCTCCAGATCCTCGTCTTGCGTCACTGGGTTGAGCTTGCACACGAACAGCACGTTCTCAGGCGGTGCGACTTCGGCGAATGGCAGATCACCTACCATCTCGAGCGTGAGGGCTTGTGCGCGCGCCTCACGTTCTCTGCGGACCTTTTCCAAGGCTTCCGGGTCGTTGTCCTCGTCGAGGTTCTCATCGTATGCGACGCGGACGGTGGCGAGCTGCGCGGCGGAGGGTACAGGGCTCTCGGGTGGCTCCACGAGGCCGGCGGGGTCGTCGTATGGGTCGTCGAGGACGACTGTGTGTAGTATGCGGATGTCTTTGAGTGGCTGGCCCTGGTCATCGATATATGCCGTGTTTATCTTCTCCAGCGTGTCAAAACCCTCCACCACTGTTCCGAATATGGCCGCCTTGCCGTCCAGGTAGTCGATGTTCTGTCCCAGCGTTATGATGAAC